AGTTTTTTTCTTATTGTTTTTACCATTGGCCCTAAAAGGTTAAATCATTTCCTTTATCCAGTCTCTCCGGGACAAATCCATCCTGGTGTAATCAGTCCTAGGTACCTAAAATCTGTTGTGGTTTGAGACTTTACTTAGTCTAACAGAATATCATACTATAACTGAGGCCATGTCTACACTAAACAGAAGATCGCCACAACTGCATTTGATCTTCCGGAGTTCAATTTAGTAAGTTTAATTAAGACTTGATAAATCAAACTAAGAGAGCATTCCCATCATCTGCCAGTAGTCCTGCTTGTATGAGGAATAAGGGAAGTTGATGGGAGCATTTGCTCCCTTTGGCCCCAGGTGCTCTGGGGACAGTGGGGAAACAAAATACAAGGTATGTCAACTCCAGCTGGGTAATTAACATAGCTGGAGTTGCATATCTTGCTTGTGTAGAGCTAGCCTAAATTTTTGTCTCAGCTGTTCCTTAGATCTTACTAACTTGAAGATACATAGTGAGATGCAAATCAAATCAGTTTTGTTTCATTACCAGTTGACCCATTTGTGATGGCAAAGTATAGAACACATTTTCTTCCTCCTCAACATACAGAGGCCTAATCCAGTTCCCCAGGTTCTAAACACTGATGAAGCTCAGATCAGGATCCAGATATGAGCTTTGTAGCTTGGGTCCATGTCTACCTCCAACTTATAAATATGCTCTTGTTAATTTTCTGCAGCATTAATTAGCTTTTCTTCACTCAGATTGCCACTCTTTTGTTTGCAGTTTCTGTTGTATTTTGTTTGACCACATTTCCACAGAGCCCTCCCTATCTCAGTATGTTTTGGTGATCTCATGCATTCCTTTTGCCTTTGAACACTCTAATGATGCTATCAGATGTGAAATGTCCTCTAAAGCACTTCATTTGTACAACAAAGGGAAAAAAGTCTTAACACTTGTTGCTCCCTGCTTGCAGTTGATCTTCTGTGTCAATTTACCAAGCAGCAAGTCTCCTAGCAGTGACATGTTTAAACATGCCTGGCAGGGGGCATGGGTAGGATGTAGGCTAGAAAAACATTCTAAAACAGGTGGCTGCGGAGGGGGTCTTGATGTTGTTACAGTGTTTTTCTTTGTAGTTAAGTCTGATCTTTCTAAGAGTCCTTCCAATCTCTCCAATACCAGCATGCAGGCAGTTGGGATCTTAGGAGGGAACCAGAAAGTTAACTATCTTTGATTACTTTCACAGCAGAGGTTGTTTGTTTGTTTTTCAGTCAATCGATGAATTCTCTCATGTCTCAGAGCTCCTGCTAGAGGAGTCTTTTGAAAGCAGTGACCTATAGACAGGGGAATGAGTGCAGCTTTCTTTCTGTGTAAACAGAAAAGTGTGCGTAATCCATGCCTACAGATTTTGTCCCAGAGGAAGCTATATGTTTATACAATTGGCAAAATCCTAGAGGAGCAGTAATAGTAAGAAAACTATTATCAAAGGAGCCCACGGGTTTGTCAGTCCTCAAGAGTTTGCTTTCAGCAAACCTAGTACTTCTCCAGGAATCATCCTATATGTGTGTAGGCAGACATGCTCTTTAACAAGTGAGTGACCAAACCCACTTCCTAATTCATCTTGACTTTCTCAGTGTGAGGTTACCTTAATCTCCCTTACCATAGGCATCCCCACTTGTAATGGCTGCATATCTGATCTTGATAAACCCTTCCCTTGTCAAGGTCATCTAGACCTTGGATGATGACTGATGCACCTTTCCTCATCTACATATTATGCTGTCTTCAGAAATACAAGTCTTGTATTATGGCAGAAGCAGGCATCCTAAACCAAAGGCATGCTAAACATTTAGGTTCTAATGCCTTTTCGGTGTATATCTTCTGGGGGGCCAGAGAAAGGATTTGGTGTACAGAACACTTTGACTTTTGACAACTAGAAGAACCTCAGCTGTGCAGCTTCGGTGTGCAAGAACTTTACCTCTTCTTATTTCAATCATGCAATTAGTATGAACATCCACCCATATCAAATACTGATTAAATGTGTGAAACTAGTTGATCAAAATGCAGCCCCATTCTACTCCAATGAGTACATTCAGACTGGTCTGGGAAAACACATCCCATAGCAGCAGGAGCGAGGATACGCTATTTCCTGACAGTTTGCATTTTACTGCACAGCCTAAAACCAAAAGTTGAGTTTTGCAGAGAACGTATATCATGTTTGTGTTTAACAATTCAGCTTTTTATTGTCATGTAGTTTTTGGAACATGATTAGTTTAATCATATACCACCATGCACAAATATCCACATCAGGAGGATTCCATTGCATTAATGGTTTTGTTTCAAACTATGTTCTCACTTTATTATATTATTTACCTATTTTACAATATTATTTTTCAAGTGTTCATTTAGCTGGGTTTTGTAATGCTCTGTGTGCACAAAATATGATCATGTTCAATTAATCATAGGTATGTCCCTAACCCATGTTCTCTGAGTTGAATGTAACTTCCTGGACAATCATTTAGAATGTATAAAGTGCTCATTAATTCTGCCCTAACCCAATTACTATCCCACATCTGCCTTTCAGCTAGATGTCACAGACATTCCACTGTCCCAAAGAAAAGTTTGTACTGGCCAGTAAATTGTAGATACAGGTTGTACCTCCCTAAACTGGGACTCTCTGGTCCAGCAAAGTCCACGGTCCAGCAGGTCTATGGATGTTCTTGGACCAGAGAGCCCTGGGGCTGGGAACCTGGTGGCAGGGGACAGTGGCTGAGAACTCTGCCAGGCAAGGGCCCGGTGGCAGAGGGGCTGGTGACTATGAACCCTGACATGGCTGGGATCCCGATAGTAGGGGGCCAGCATGTGGGAGCGCTCCTGGGGCCAGAGCTGGGACCAGTGGCAGTAGGGTGGTGTGAATGGTAGGGGAGGCAGCCAGGATTGCCAGTAGGGGGAGCCAGCAAGCCCAGCTAGGGCTTGTAGCCTAGCCAGGCCAAAGGCAGGGGACCAGAAGGGCTGAAAGCAGAGCCTGCAGTGGGGAAGAGTAATGGGCTGGGGAGCCGGTGGCAGGGGACCTCCCCTGGTCCACCAAATTCCCTCTTTTGGGACTGGTCAGGTCTCAAGGGTGCCAGACTAGGGAAGTCCAACCTGTATTACCATTAATTAGAGCCAAAATTGTCCTGCCCCAATGTGGTCTAAGGCAGAAGCCACATCTTATGTGTTCCACACAAGACCCTGACTCAGTCTACTGGCCTGCAGTGGACTGAATTCTGTCTCCATTCTCCCTGAGCCACCTTCCCAACACTAATTTGAGACCAAAGACTCTAGACATAAGCCGGCAATAAATATTTCTACATTCAATCTGAAAAGACTCCCAGTATGCTCCCAAATTGAGTTTGAAACAGCCCCATACCTGATATAGGCTGGCTGCATGATTTACCATCATAAAAACAGAGACCATACAACTGTAATTCATCTACTATATAGGGAAGACAATTCTTTATCATGTGATAACTAGTAGGGGACCTTCTATTCAGTAAGATTTCAGATCAGCTTTGGAACTATAGCTGTATTTCCAGACTTGCTGTGAGATAGGTGTTTTACACTATCCCGCATTGTAGCTTACTGACACACAAACATTTCCTTCTAACTGCATATTTTAATAGCCACAGCGATCTGTTTTATTTGAATAGCTATGCCTTTTACAAACATAAGTGTTTGTTACTGAGGACGGTCCTTTTACAAATACCTGCAGATGGCTGAGGTAAGTTATGCTTAACAATGCTTGTAATGAGCTGGTCCGGTGCTCGCTGGGAGAAGGAAAGCTATTTTATTACAGTCTGCAGGCAGTAAAATTGAATGTTGACAGCAATGCAAATGGGACACAGTTACCTTTCCATTTGTGAACAAAAGAGAAGTAGCTCACGTACACCTGCCACAGAGACTGGGAGAGTGGAAACACTTTCCTCACCACCAAGTTTCTTTAAAATATTAAAAATCTCTGTTGCTTTACCCCCAGCATACCATGTCCAGATGTGTCAATGCACCAAAATTAGCCTTGTTATAGAAACCAGTGTTGCCAGAGCAGCAAGAGACTTTCATCAAAGCTGTGGGGTTGCTTTCGGTCAAGGTTGTCAACAGACTTCACCGAGCCCTGGGTAAGGTGTGTGTGGCAACTCAGCTCTGGAAGGGGCAGGGCCTCAGGTGGGGCTGAAGCTAGCCTCCCCCACCCAGCCCTCAGCGCTGCCTGGACTGCATCGTATGGTGCTATGGCAACAATTTAAGGGGCCTGGGGCTCTGTCTGCTGCCGCTGTCTCTGTTCTGTGGGCAGGGCCGGACTAAGGGGAGGCTAGCCAGGCAACCGCCCAGGGCGGGGGCTGTGTTAACCCCCGCAACACCGGTCAGCAGCGCCCTTCCCCCTGCGGCTGCCTGGGGCAGGGTCCTGCACAGGGTCCTGCACAGCCTGGCGCAGCCCGCCCTGGGCGGCCCCGGGCTGCATGCCATCGGTGGTGGCCAGGCCGACTGGGCAGCGCATGCACCGTGCGTCCACCCACGCACCACAGGGACGGGCCTGCGCACCTGAGGCTCAGGACACCAAAATGGCTCCCTTGTCTGTGGGAAGAAGATCTAGTTATCTTAAAAGTAAGAAAGCCCAGTCGGGTCTATTAGCAGAACACTGAACTTGAGAAAGAGCCATTCAAGTGGTAATGAAGCCATTTAACAGGTATTTGCCAATCCCAGGTACATACTTTCAGTTTCTGCACTTAGTGTTTGAATATAGGACTATAGTTTAAAATTTGTTGTAAAAATATATTTTATTAGTGTGTGGCTGAAGATTATAAAATCACATCTCTAAAAAACGTGTCCAGTCCCACCCAAGCTGCCACTGAGCATAGTGGCACCAGTTTAATAGTACTGTGAAGGGCCCCATAAATCCTAAGGATGGCCTTGGGGCCGGACTGTGCCCAGCTTTCTATGGATGA